CTGCTGATCTAGCAGTAGCCTGCAGTGCTGCATTTAACCACTGCGCCACCTTGGCTCTGGGATGCGCTTAGAGGAATTCTTATTAAGGAACAATCAAAAGTAGGAACTTCTCCCTTGCAAAGAAAAGTCCAATGGATTTGAGGGTTGTTAGTTTAGATGAAAAAACTACAAACAACAGAAAACAGAGCAGAGATTTCTAAAATTTCTATGCATTGTACCAAAATGTAGAAGAAAATTTCTCATCGTATTATCGATGGTTTTTTCAGTGATACGCATTCATCTGTATAAACACATTGTGAAACTACCATGTTACCCCCAAAATAAGACCTAGCCTGATTTTACACATGCGCCCAATATAAGCCCTACCCCACCCAAAATAAGCCCCGATTAAGACCCGGCACACTTCGTTTCACCTGAATACACAAGGTGGGGTGAGGTGCATGGGGAAAAACCAAGCTTGGGGCAACTGCCTCACGTGCCCCGCACTCGATTACCTTAGGGCAGTTTTAGCCAAGTCCCCCCCCCCCCCGCCCCCCCCCCCATTTCCCTTGGGGGGGTTTTTGCCAAACCCCCCCCCCCCCCACACCTCAATAGCTGACTCACCTTGCCAGTCCATTTCTTCTACGGCCACTTACCACCACTTGTGCGCGTTGCCCCCCAACCTCCATTTCACTGTCCAAAGCCTTCAGGAAAGGTCTCTGCAGCTGAGAAATGAGCTCTGGATTGATGCATGTGGCGCCCCCCCTTCCTTCCCCCCTTCCTTCCCTTCCTCCCTCCCTCTCTACTTCCCTCCCACCCTCCTTCCTTCCCATTTTCCTTCCTTCTTTCCCCTTCCCTTCCTCCCTGCCTTCCTTTCCCTCCTTTCCTCCTTCCTTCTTTCTTTCCTTCCTTCCTTCCCACTCTACCTCCATCCCACCCTCTTTCCTTCTCATTTTCCTTCCTTCTTTCTCCTTCCCTCCCTCCTTCTTACCTTCCTTCATTCCTGCCCAATAGCATTTAGACGTATACTGCTTCACAGTGCTTTACAGCCCTCTCTAAGCAGTTGACAGAGTCAGCCCGCAACATTTGCCCCCAACAATCTGGGTCCTCATTTTACCCACTTTGGAAGGATGGAAGGCTGAGTCAACCTTGATCCTGGTTAGATTCAAACTGCCAAATTTTAGTTAGCCCCCCCTCCCCCCGCCTCCATTTTGCCATCAGAGACCTTTGAGGTCGGGGGGCACTATGCGCAAGTGGTGGCAAGCGGCCACAGAAGAAGACGGTCGGTAGCACCCACACGGGCTCCTACTGGGCAGTACTGTCGGTACGGTGGCAACGCGGTGAGACAGTGAAAAAGGCATCCCCTGAAAATAAGAGCTCATGCCTCTTTTGGAGGAAGAAAATGTCTTTGTATAAATATCGGTTTTGGGGATTCAGGGACACAGAGGAAACCAATGTTGGCATGGATGGTTTGGTTATTTAGTTTATGAGTTCTTTCGGGATCAGCAAGTGAATTAGAGATCCCGTATCAGTAGCTGCTAAGCCATGATGACTCTTTGAATATTCACTCCAAACTCCAAGGCTGTGCTGCAGTGGTGGGTTCTGGATCCCGTTCCAACCAGTACAGTTGGAACGGGCCCAGCGGCGCTCACATGGACGCATGCACAGTTGTACAGCATGCGAATGTGTTGTACCTACCAGCGATGCCTCTGCAATGTTCCAGCTGCTAGGTGGAGTGCAGCGCAGGCGCTTTATATGCCATGTGCATGCACAGAAGCGCCAAAGACTTTAAAGGACAGGTAAGGAATTTGGGCGAGCGAGTGGGCCTCCGGAGCACTGTACCAGAACGGTACTCGGTGCTCCAGGCAGGCTCCGGTATGCCCATACCAGAGCGTACCTCCTGCAACCCACCACTGCTGCGCTGAGACAAGCTTGTTGAATATACAAACATTTTGCAAAACATTTTTATAAATGAGTGGTTGGAATGACACAAGGTTCTAAAACTAACAGACCACAAGATAGCTTAATCCACAGGTGGTCCTCGATTTACGATCACAATTGAGCCCGAAACTTTTGTTAAGTGAATTTTGCCCCATGTCCGACTTTTCTTGTCACCGTTGCTAAGTGAATCACTGCAGTTAGTGACATGGTTGTTTAGTAAATCCGGCTTCTCCATTGACTTGGCTTGTCAGAAGGTTGCAAAAGGGGATCACATGACCCACCCATCCCTTGGACATTGCAACCATCATAAATATGAATCACTTGTGAAGCGGCCGAATTTTGTCCATGTGGCTGTGGGAATGCAGCAACGGTCATAAGTGTGAAAAGTCATCAGTCACATTTTTCGGTGCTGTTGTAATTTCTGACGGTCACTAAATGAACTGTTGTAAGTTGAGGACTACCTGTAGTTGCATCTTGGGATGGTGGTGGATGTTGAGGATTTATAT